AATTTGAAAAAAATTCGAGTCTCTACGATTTTTTTTGAACGAGTAATGCCATTTTGAATGGATATCGCTAGTCGCTCATCGCTTATCGCGCCCAGTGTGCAGTGTTACGTCCCGGATGAGGACGCTGAGCTAGGGTGAAATAGCACGGACAAGGAGACAAGCGACATGTTCCGATAAATTCAAATTGGAATTACAACTGTTAAATTGGTTAAAGATAACGAAAATGAGTCCGTAGGCCGACCGGGATGATTCCGATTGATCACAGCTCGATTGGACACCACCAATCACAGCGACCTGTGCTTAGGAGCTTTGTAGTCTCAGGCGCTGTGAGTGGCTCGTGTCAAATTGAGCCGTGTCCAACTGGGTGCCACCCAACTTTAACGCTTAATATCTCAGTTCGCGGGGCCTATAGGCACAATATTTTACTATCGAATTCTTTCGTTTCATGCAAAAATGCGTTAAATCAGCATAATTTCATTGAAATTGAAGGTGAGGGGCGTCTTCTAAATAATTACCTACCATAATTTTATTTCCAAGAAATTAAAAAACTATTAAAAACTATAATTATTACTATAGTAGGGTATTTCCTATTATTACCCGATAGATCACTTGATGCATGCAATTCCACATGGAACAGTATTAACGGCCTCTAGTAAATTCACCATAAAAACTTATAAGAGAAAATCTATTGAAACACATTGGCCAGCCGACGGTCATAAGTTGTTTTCCATAAAGAACATTTCGACTTTCATAGTTTGGAAACCATAGACGCCTATAGATTGGTACTGTACATGAAACACCATTAAAATTGATAAGAGTTAAATAGGTAAAACTCGTTTTCCATAAGGAGAAAATGACGTGGATCCTTATAAATAGGCATACTTAAATGAAATCTATCACTTACTCTCAGCTTAATCAGAGGTGTGCTCGTAGTCTTTGAAAGTGCTTTTTTTTAAATAGTTATTAATAATTAATTTTTGTGATGCATACTCGTTTTCTGCATTTTGTATCTTGCCGAAACGCGGATATATAGAAGATCTTAGCACTACTCAGTATTACTGAACACTTCTGCACTACTACAGTAGTGTAATACGGTAGTGCTGTAGTGCAATAGTGCCTCAAAATACTCCTAGTGCTCAGTAGTACTTTTCTACAAGGGAAATGATCTTAATACAATGAAAGAGAACGATACTGACTAATTGGCAATTCAACAACTTCGACATTTATATACTACGTTTACACGGCATGCTTTACGTCGAAGTTGTAATATCGATATTATGAAACTGGCCAATCATAGCTATTCTTCTGAAGAATGGAATGGCTGCGTTCAGCAGACTCAACAGTTTTGCAACCGTTTTGTGATTCTTCGCTGAGATAGGACTATTCCTTTAAATCTAAAAGTATAATCCAATCAGCGCGATGAATCATAAAACGGTTGCAAAACTGCTGAGTCTGCTGAACGTAGCCAATGACTGTGATTGACCTCTGTTACACGGTACGCTTTACGCCGAAGTTATAACATCGATGTTATGAAACTGACCAGTCACAGTTATTCCTCTGAAGAATGGAATGATTGTGATTGGGCAGTTACATAACATCGATGTTATTACTTCGGCGTAAAGCGTGGCGCGTAAACGTAGTAATAGCTCATCAACAAAATCGGAAAATAAGCCTTAGAAAGTCCCTCCATATCCGTCTGCAGATTGAGATCATACGTCTGCTTCCTGATGTACAGCATCTTCGAAACTAATCTTTTTCTGTATTGAAGTTCTTCGTCCAAAATTACAATGTTTTCCCAATCGAATTCATAGTCCTCCTGCAATCGGTAGTCAGTTATGACCAGTTATGACGGAGGCTGCGGTCGATTTAGACGCTTTCAACGCTTTTCAGTACTTCTATTCTTATTTTACGTGTAATGAACGATAAAGACAGAATGATGATTACAAGTGCTTAAAGCGCGTGAGCGTCCAAATCGACCGCAGCCCGAATGTGATTCTGGTGCTTAGCAATTCTCGTCTTCAGCTGCCTTCCCGTCTGTCCCACGTAACTCGCATCGCAGTCATTACAACAAATCTTTACACGGCATTCAATTTCATATTATGCGGAAGCGGATCTTTATGCATCTTAATGAATTCTCGTAATTTGTTAACACTATAAAATAATATCCTAATATCATCGCTGTTTAATCTATTAAATTTTTCGGAAACAGTAGAGACGTAAGGAACAGTAAACCAGGAAGGTCTCACGATTTTGGCGTTATCGCTATCAGGTTTCTTGCTTTTAAACTTAATAATGTTTTTCAAACGGTTATTGATATTATAAAAAATGAATTCTAACGGATAATCATTCTCTAAC